CAAATAATAATAAGTAGTTGAAACTAGATAAAATCCAAATCCAATAATATTTATTATTATTAAAACATAAGCTTGAGTTCCCGAATTTTAGCATATACCTCGACACACCAAGAAGTAAGAGGGGGGCACCAAAAATCCTTTCACAAAGATAAAAAAAAAACACTAAAATACAAAATAATAAATTTCAATAAAGTAAAAAAATATGCAAATCAGATTTATAGTAGTTCGGTCAAAGTTGTCCTACATTCACTCCCTGAAGGTCCTCCTTTTTAATAATGGCCTTCCAACTTATAATTTCGTTGTGTATAGAGGATTGCAAAGGGGAACCAATGCCCGAGGAACTGTACTGATATGGAAGATGGCGATCATGTTGCTACTAGTTGTGTTAAGCTGAAGGATGTTCTTCATCAGATCAGTAAATGGGGTATTGCAGTTCAAGTTTTTGATTCCTTGATATATTGTTGTAAATGGCTGTCTAGCCAAAGTCCCTTTATGATTAACTTGTATTGTAATGTGGCGAAGTTAACATGGAAATCAAGGAACAAGTTGATTCACAATGGGAAGGAAGATAGCTCATTGATTATTGGTTCTAATGCAGTGAGTTATGCTTCAATTTTTGTTCAAGGAATTGGTAGAATCTCGGGTATATGGGATGTTAATCAGCCTTCTAGGCTATCAAATTTGCATTGGTATCCCCCTCCACCCGATTGGATAAAAGTAAATGTGAATGCTGCCTTACTTACCTCTTATAAAGCTGGAATTAGAGGGGTGTTTCATGATCATAAAGGTAAACTACTCTTGGCTTTTGGAAAACCGTATGTTCATTTGGACATATCTACATTGGTGCTTTTGGCTACTCAATCAATAAAGGAGATGACCATAGATTGGATGTTTAAGTACAAGGGAATTATAATTGAAGGAGATAATATTAACGTTATGAAGTTTTTGCAAAATGCCAAACAAAGTGGAGACTCAAGGTATGAAGATGTTCATTTATTCAATGAGTTTAAACATGTTATTTTTAATTGTGTAAATAAAAGGTGCAATAAGTTAGTGAATTTATGTGCTAACTATGACATTTTGAGTTCTTTTATTTGGGATGATGTTAGTGTGAATAAGCTTCCTCCTTTGTTTATATCTTTGTTAAAGGAGGAATCCATTATTTTGAGTCCTTAGTTTATATTCCTTATTTCTTTAATTCAATTTGCTGCATTTCCTTCAAAAAAAAAAAAGAAGGCCCTCCTTTTTGGGTGATACACTAAAGTGACTCTCCTTTATCTCACAGCTAGGCATAGAAGCACTTTTCTCTTACCAAGTAGAGAATGACCATTATTGACTCCAAAAAATGTTTCTCTTTCCACCTCCTCGCTCAACTGAGATGTCAGCGCTCTTTTAGTTCCTCGCTCAAATGAAGATGTCGATCTCTTCTTTAGCTCCTCATCTTGACAGAGATGTTGATCCCTCTTTTAGCTCCTCATTACAGTGGGGATGCCATCCTTCCTTCTGCCTCCTAATCTGGTAGAGATGTTGATCCCTAGCCTTCTCAACTTGTAATTCTTTCACCCAAAGACTTTATTCTTAGATATATTCTCTAAGAGATTCACTAAAACATAACAGGACCCAAGCTGCAGACTAACTGGAGCAACTATGTTAATCCTCTGAAACTCCTTGGCTTTCTCAAGGCAAACTCTCCATCAACCTCACCTCCTCTCTTTACCTTACGATGTGGACACTCTCCAAAGCTCGCTCTCTCTCTCAAAAAAAAAAAAAAAAACAACTTCTGCTAAAAAAAAAAAAAAAAAACCACTAACTACTCAACCTTCGACCTCAAAAGTTTATGATGTTGAGTTTATAAAGTAGGCTCTTAAAAAATCCTAATTGTCAAATTAATTACTCGAATCATATAATATAAAATTAGGATCGTATAACATTATTAGTTTATTTTGTATCTTCTGATAGTATTGTATAATGAATAGTTATACAATATGATTAGTTTAATTATATCTCTAATTGTATTGTATAACGTACAATAATACAATACGATCAATCCAATCAAATTATAAATCATCTTAGATGAACGAAGGTTTGTTCAGCTTGCTCTATGTTGATCATTATATATGGTGGTGATTGTATAGTATGATCATTAATAAATATTTGATTCTTATTTAATTAATCAATACTTAGGATTGAATTAAAAAAATTATTAATGTTTTTACAGTCTGAAAAGGTTCGTATAGTATGATCAATTCACATTTCAAAATTTAAATTTATCTAATTTAAGTAAGAAGAATTCGACGATGAAATTTCTAAAAATAGCTTATCGTCTTGTATGATTTGGTGGTTGTACGATACAATTAGTTATATGTCAATTTAGTTAAATAGTTAAATTATCTTTTATTTGAAAAGATCACACAATATAATATAGATATACAATATGATTATAAAAAAAATTAAATATTTAATTTTTCTCCCTCCTTATGAGTGTGTGCCTGATTTCCTAGTCAACATACACTTAATATATAAAATGACTCAAGAAAATAAAAAGTATAGACTATATCAAATACAAACTCACTTAGATGCACTAAAAGAATATGCAATAGATTGATAGGGAACTGACATGACCATATGCTATATGATGAGGATATGACTAATAAGTATATGATAAAACTGCATATAAATTACATGATATGTTTTTATACTAACTACTATATGTTCCTATAATTATATGTTTACTGTTTCTACTTGATGTATTTACTTCAGTTATAGATATTGATAGCTTTCTAGGCTAATCCCTCATTATGTGATTTTTACATGTTTTAAAATAAGGGTAAGGATACTGTGGCGTGAGGATGATTAGGATAGTAGGCTTAGTTTTTTTTTTCTCTTTGGTCTTTCGTTCTTTTGTAGTCATAATATGTGTTAGTTAGGCATTTTTTGGTGGAGCATCACGGCTATAGTTTATATTCCTTTGGGTTGGATTAATGTGTAAATATTGGATGAACAGTAAAGCATTTATATTTTTTTACTATTTATATTATCTATTTATGAAGTTAGTAAGCTTTGGTTGATATGTAGAAGATAAAAAAAGTAATTCTTCCAATTTAGGCCTTGGGGCATCACATAATCATTCATGCATAATAGAAATACTATCCACACTAACGGGCATATAACTTTAAATTACATATCATGATCCTCAATATAAAGTTCTTTTATTGGGCATGGATTTTAGTATGCCTAGGGGTCTTTATATACTAGGTAGCGACAATCCTTGCCTATATAAGATTGTAAGCCCAAATGAGTGTCTCTGGTTGCATATAATTGGGCTAGTTCATTCATGTTTTCTGCCATTAGAGCCTATAGGTGCTTCATATGTCCAAATCTATCTTAAAGAATTCATCTATCTAAGGAATCTAAGTTTTTCTTCATTGGATTAAAATCATGAGGCTAATTCTAAATGATGTAATTCTTAGTTGTTGATAGAATACTTCATGAATGAGTTTGGTCCACTACTTGTTGAACTAAATGATTTCAAAGTTGATAGCCTGGGGATGATGGATCAATAAAATCCTATCGAAGTTAATTTCTACCATCTCTTAGATTTCTTACACCCTACCCATTATCATTTTTCTGAGCTCATCATAGTCCAGTATTTGATGATTCAATGACCTTAACTATAAGGACTTTTTATGTAAAAAAATGATCATATATCTTGCTTAGTCATAGTGGTTCACCCTCTATCTTATCGATTAATAAGTCTTTAAGTATAAACTATGCCATTAGGCCAATAGCTTTTGAATTAAAATTTTTTCTTTGATAATTAACATTTAAAAAATCAAGATAAAGACATGTTATGTATGTTGAAACTTTCCTGATAAGATATCTGCTAGTGTAATTAAACTTAAGAATCTTAGTCCATTTGGAAGATGGAATAACCCACACTCTCTTAATATAAGTTTGAGTTGATATGACTTCTCATGAATATTTTAACACAAATTTCGATAGGATTTATATATTGAGGTTATCTATATGTGCTCCTTTTCTTATCTCTTGTAATGAGAATCTTATACATGAGAATCAAATCTTCACATCATCATCCCTTTTCCCACCAACTCATTTATCTTCCCTTAGTTTATCCAAAACACATCCTTTGGCCACTTTCACCACACCAAATAAAGTTACTCATCCCTTTTCCTTTTTCCAATTCCATGACTTACCACTCGATCAAATTTTAAAATAGAAATTTACAAGGGGCCTTCTAAAGTGGATTCTGAATGGATTTCGATGGCAGCTTGAAGAATCTTTTACGAACTTGCACTTTCCCTCTTTCTCTTTGTCACTTTACTCCTTTTGTGATCGTCATTCCATAGTCCTAGTACCATTGCCACCGCCTTGGTCATTCCCTTATTATCTCATGGAGGAATTTTATAGGCATGGGATAACCTTGAAATTGTTGTTGTTGATCAAGAAAGGCACACTCTTGTGCATCCATGGAAATTGTACATGTGGTAGACTTGTATAATGGGTTGAAGACCTTGAGTATGTAGGGACAGGGCTTCTAAAGGATGGAGCTCTCAATGCCAAGTGTTAAGTAGTAAATATATACCAATCTGTTGGGGGCGTAGTAAATAACTCTTGAAACAGTTGAGCCTTAGAATCCTTGTTGAATTGAAGAAGTCATTTGAGAGGACCTATGGGATGAGTAGTTGAGAAGGTTACTCGACACCAAGAAGAAAAAAATTATGCTCTACAACGAAGAAAGTGATGACTGTTGAGGAATAGTTCTCGAAAGCCTAGATACAAAGATTTTGTTTTTTTATCTTTGAGATTTCAAAATGGTTGCCAAATGATTATCAAGCAATTAAATTTAAGCTAATTAATAAGAAATCAATACTAATATATTGGGAACTTAACCAATATTTCCAGTAGTAATCTTTTTATTCTCTGCTTTCACATTAATCTAAATACTAATTAACATTTTGTCCCCTGAAAAACAAGCAATATAAAAATCAGGAAGCATTGGTAGTTTATTCCAACTTTTTCTAAAAACATGAAGAGTTCTCATCCTATTTTGATACAGCCACTGTAGCAATTTCCTTCATATCTTTGTCAATCTCAACACCTTCTTTATTATAAACGTAGAACTTAGAAACCACTAAAAATAATATGAAATTAATCACATTAAGAACAGCAAAAAATCCATAATAGTAATCCAAATGAGAAGCATTCAAATTATTCTCAATCCATCCTTTCTTCCCTCCTTCTCTGGTCACCCTTGCCACAGTTGATAGAAGAAAACTACTGACAAAATTTCCGATTCCAATACTCGTAGTAAAGAACGAAGCACCCAAGCTTTTCATTCCTTCAGGTGCTTGATCATAGAAAAATTCCATCTTTCCGACTTCCACTAACATCTCTGCAACTCCCATCAAAACAAATTGTGGAGACAGAATGAAAACTGTTAAAGGAACTATATCCTTTTGATAAACAAGATGATGACTTTTCACAACGCTCAATCTCCATCGCTCAATTAGGGCCGCCATGATCATGATGAAGATGTGAAGTCCTTCACCTATGCCAATCCTCTGTAACATTGTGACGCCTCTTGAATTTTTGGTGCGCTTTCTCATAAATGGAACAAAGCATCTGTCATAAATAGCAACACTTGTGAGTGTGCCAATGGTGAAGAAGGAAGAGAGGCTCGCCGACGGAATTTTGAAGTTTCGTCCTACGTTGCGATTCAAGTTGACTCCTTGCTTGATGAAGAGGGTCAGGACTTGGGCCATCATCACACTTGGAATGATTGACGTGATGAAGACTGGTAGTAGTTTAATGATTTGCTTGGTTTCTTCTACCTGAGTTACGGGGCATAACATCCATGGACTATCTGAGCCAATCATCACAGCTGCCTTATCAAAAAACCTAAGTGAAAGTAACAGCAAAAGGTTCAAATTTGACTCAATTGGCAAGTAAAAAAGCTTTCTTGAGCAACATATATTATTAACCTTAATGAGGCTGAGTGATTGATCTTGTAATGAGCCTTCTTTGCGTAGTACTCCGAATCAAGCTCATATAGCTCTGTTGAATCAACAGGGCAAGGGACCTTCCATTTCCTGACAGAAGCCACCAAGACCTGAGCTATCCTTGTGATGGGACTACCGGACGGCAACTTAAGCCGATAAAATGGAGTGCCAATAAAGAAAACCAGTATTGAAAAGGCTAATGCGACTGTGGGAATGATATAGCCAACTGAAAAGCTAACATTATCTTGGATGTAGACAAGGAATGTGCTCGAGAGGAGGTTGCCGATGAAGATGGCAAATGTCCACCAGTTGAAAAATGAGAGCTTTAGGGCCTTTTCCTTTGGGTCATAAATATCAAATTGATCGGCTCCCAAAGTTGATATATTGGGCTTTGTTCCACCAGCACCCAATGCTATTATGTACAGTGCTAAAAAGAAGATGTTAACTTGGATTTGCTTTGTTTGTGTCTTGCAGTCTTCAACGTTTGATGAATTACAAGCCGAAGGTCTCAATGAAGGGAGTGAGACAGTAAGAGACAGAAGGATCATTCCCTGATAAAATAGATTGTTTTATTTGTAAAGGAGAGATTTTTAAGAATGATAATTAGTGCCTTGATGAAAAGGATTACCAATAAGTAGATTGCAGAAGATAATATGAAAGTCCAGTATCGACCGAGATGAGAATCGGCAATATAGGCACCTAAGATTGGTGTCAGCATTATAGTTCCTAACCAGTTTGTGACATTATTTGAAGATTCTACAGTGCCTTGATGAAGCTTGTTTGTGAGGTAGAGAACCAGATTTGGTGCCACACCAAAATATGCCAGCCTCTCAAATACTTCGAAAACTATACAAATAAAAAAACGTCACTACTTTATCAGCGAGAAAGTTTTTAATTTGTCTGAATGAAAGCATTGAAGTGATGCCTTATTAGTTGGGAACAAAAGTCTCAGCTTGCTCAAGAACAGAGTAAACAGGCCAGGATTAAAAAACAAGAAGCTAGAGAGCAAGAGGCAAGGATTTACCAACAATAAAGGAACAAGCAGACCATCTTCCTCCTTTTGATCTAAGACAAGGTCTGCCTTTTATATCTATTGTTCCATCCATAGTGTAATCAGTATTGTTCTCCTTATGTCCCTCACCCTTCTCTGTATGTGCCATTTCTGACGAAGAGAAAGCTTCAGGAGTCGCAGTAATGGAACCTTGCGCCCTCTTAATAAATAGAAGAAGCTGAGACCAAAAACTTTAATTTAGCCCGTAGTGCTCGAATTGTTTAAAAATTTATATTTCCAATTATATTGTGGAAGCCATGAAAGAGATGAGGATAATTTATTTTATTAAGGCAAATTGAAGTGAATATTTAATTTTCAGCACTTGTCCGAATAAAATAAATCCCCACTCCAATATTGAATGAAGTGATGAAAAGTGTTGAGAGAGTAGTCTCGTCCTTTAGCCAGAGAGATAGGACGGATACAGAGAAAGGGATATGTCGTTCTCAGAGCAATAACAGAGAAAGTTTTTTTTTTGGGACATTTAGGCCATTTAAGGCAAACTCACACACACAACGCATACACAAAGACTCGAACCCAAGACCTCTTAGTTGGAGCATAAGCTCTCAACCAACAAGCCAAGGTGAGCTGTGTACAGAGAAAGTAAAGAGATGTTTTTCTATTATTTCTTTTGTTACAGAAGAGCTAAGTATATATAGGCAATATTGATAAAGAACTGTACGACCTATTCTAACGTTAACCTTGTAACCCAAACATTGCTTGACACGTAGAATGTTTGTTAACATCCCCCTTCAAACTAATGGCTACAAGGTGGCTGTGAGTTTGCTGGAGAGATACTTGAATCTTTGTGTAGGTAAGGCCTTTGTGAATAGGTCGGGAATTTGGTCGGTTGTGCATATATGATGGACGGAGATGTGGTGTTTCTTGATGCAGTCCCGAATAAAGTGACAGTCGACCTCTATGTGTTTTGTACGTGCGTGGAAGACCGGATTGTTGGCGAGTGAGATTGCCGATGTGTTGTCGCAGTAGACGATTGTAGGGAGATCTTGAGGTGTGTGGAGTTCTTCTAGAAGTCGTCTTAACCATAAAATCTCGGATGCTTCGGCTGCCAGTGCTCGGTATTCAGCCTCTGTGGAGGAACGAGCTATTGTGCTTTGTTTCTTGACTTGCCAAGAGATCGGAGATTGACCAAGAAAGTTGCAAAAGCCAGAAATAGAGGTCCGGTCTTGATGATTGCTTGCCCAGTATGCGTCAACATATCCTTGTAATAAAAGAGATTTGCGGTTTAAAGGAATACCGGTTAACGTAGTACCTTGTATATATCGGAGAAGGCGCTTGAGAGCATCATGATGAGTGTTTAGTGGTAGGTGCATGTGTTGACATAGCTATTGTACGGCGAATTGAATGTCCGGTCTGGTAAGCTTGAGGTACTGTAGATAACCTATAATTTGTTTGTAGAGGTGCGGATTATCATACGGTTCGGTAGAGGCTGAGGACGTCGTCGTTTTGGTAGGGATTGGTGTAGAAACTGGTTTGGATTGCGCCATCCCGGCTTTATCGAGGATTTTCTTGGCATAAGCTTGCTGATGTAGGATGACGCCGGTGGTGGTTTGGTTGGTTTGAATACTGAGAAATTGGGACAGTGGTCCGAGATTGCGCATCTAAAAGTGATCATGTAGGTTAGAGAGAAGTTTGTGTATTTCGGATGTTGAGTTACCTGTAAGGAGTATATCGTCGACGTAGATAAGGATGTAGATGCGCGTATTTCCGCGTTTGAACGTGAGCAACGAGTGATCGGATGAGCTGATTTGGAATCCGTATGTAACCATGTGGTTGGATAAGGTAGCGTACCACTCTCGAGGGGATTGTTTAAGCCCGTATAGAGCTTTCTTCAGACGGCAGACATAATTTGGATGGATGGAGTCTTGGAATCCGGGTGGTTGATGTATGTAGACGGTGTCGGATAGTGTCCCGTGGAGAAAGGCGTTGGACACATCTAATTGATGGATTATCCAATTGTCATGAAGGGCTAAGAGAATGAGAATACGTACGGTAGGCATTTTGGCCACGGGGCTGAAAGTTTCAGTGTAGTCGATGCCGTGTTCTTGATTGTTTCCTTTGGCGACGAGGCGGGCTTTGTAGCGGGCTATGGTTCCGTCAGAGTTGTATTTGGTGCGGAATGTCCATTTTGATCCAAGGACGTTTTGAGATGTGTTGGGAGGTACTAGTTCCCACGTCCATTGAGATTGTAGAGCTTGAAATTCTTGATACATCGCGGTGTGCCATTGTTCTGATTTGGCTGCCTGATTGTAAGTGGTTGGTTCGGTTGTTTGAAGTGCGTGGACAAGATCAAATATTTTCTTTGGCTGGTGATGGCCGATTTTTAACCGGGTGAGCATATGGTTCCCTTGTGGCTGTGGCGGGTTCTGAGAGGTTGCAGATTGACTGTTATTAGTGGGTGTGGTTGGATGAGAATTAGTTGAGCTCGCGTGGATTAGCCGTTGTTCTGAGACCGGAGTGTGTGAATTTGTTGTTCCGGAGTGGGTAGCCCTATTGTGGTTGATATTGGAGCTATATTTGGTTGGAGAGGGGACGGTGGATGTACTAATGCTAAAGGTGGGAACGAGCAACAGGGGTGGTGTGGGTGGCTGGGCGGAATGCTTATTTGTGGTGTGGGCTGAGTTAGTGGCGTAAGGAAAGATTGATTCGTTGAAGATGACGTGATTTAAAGTGTAGATCCGATTTGTTTGAAGGTCTAAGCAGCGGTAGCCTTTTTGCGCTGTGGCGTAACTGATGAAGACGCATGGGTGAGATACCGGGGAGAGTTTGGTGGTTGTGTAAGGATTGAGCCACGGGTAACAGAGGCAACCGAAGACTTTAAAGGAGTTATAGTTTGGTGGATTTCCGAAAAGTATTTCATATGGTGATTTTGATTGCGTATTGGGTGAAGGTAGGCAATTTATTAGCAGATTTGCGGTGAGCACGGTATCAACCCAGAATTGTTGAGGAAGAGAGTCTTGAGTTAATAGGGTGCGAGCGGTCTCGGTAATATGGCGATGCTTGCGTTCGGCGACTCCGTTCTAAGGCGGAGAGTAGGGGCAGGAGGATTGCTGTAAAATACCGTTGTTCCGACAATAGTTTAAAATTTTATTGTTTATAAATTCACCACCGTTATCTGTTCGAAGAATTCAGATCTTGCTATTGAATTGACGTTCTATAAGTTTTTGAAGTTCGATGAATTTATTAAACACTTCTGATTTATTTATAAGAGGAAAAATCCAAGTGAAATTTGAAAAATCGTCAATGAATAACACGTAATATCTAAAGCCGGTATTCGAAGTGATAGGAAACGGACCCCAGATGTCCGAGTGAAGAAGGGAGAAAGCATTTTAAGTTACAGTAGTAGAAAGATATGTAGGTAATCTGTGGCCCTTGGCCATTTTACAAGAGTTGCACATGATTGGTGAAGTTTTAATGTTGCTGTGGCGTTTGGATATAGCAGCCAAAGTGGATGCAGATGGATGGTCTAAACGCCTGTGCCAAAGGTCTTGGATATGTTGCACGGATATGAGAGCAAGTCCGTTGGTGTGAGAAGCCACGCGTTTTGAGATTTGGAAGGGATAAAGACCGTTAATAGCTGGACCCGTGAGAAGACGGCGGTGGGTCTTCCGGTCCTGTATTTCGTAGCCGTTAGGAGAACAAAATAATAATGCAGTTGTTATCCTGAGTTAATTTTTGTACATAGAGTAGATTGAATGAGAGATTGGGTACAAGATTGAGATTCTTTAATATCAAGCTACCTGTTGGCGTTGGTAGAATACCTTTACCCGTGTTGTGTATTGGTAGTTGATGACCATTACCCAAGATTACTTGACTTGAGCCGTTGTAGCTTTGAGCCTGTTGAATATGATTGGGGTCGGAGGTTAGATGGGTTGAGGCGCCGCTGTCGAGGAACCAATCGAAGGATGTAGATGGAGTTGGGGTTGTAAAGAGAGCCGGCGTGGGATCGGAGGTGTAGGTGTCGTCGTGTCTGTACCAGCACTTGATTGCCGAGTGGCCGAATTTGCCACATATTTGGCATGTCACGGATGAACGGTTCTGTTTGCCTCCACGGTTCTGATTTGGTGTGGTAGTTTGGCGGGCGGAAGAATGTCCCCGAGGCTGGGATGACCGACCGCGGCCTCTTCCGCGGCTTGCGGTCAGAGCTGTCTGATTGCCGGTAAGATTTAGAGATTGAAGATCTCGAAGAGTTTCGTGAGCCAGGTTTAGTTCTTCACTACACAAAAGAGTGTAGAGTTCGTCAAGGCTAACGGAGTGAAGGTTTTGCGGATAGCTGTTTTGAACGCTTGATAGGTATTTGGAAGGCCATTGTGGGTGTAGTGAATAACGTCTTCAACATCGACAGGGGCTCCGGTGACGACGAGGGCTTCGACTTTGGCCTTGACGTCAAGAAGGTATTGCGTCATATTCTTGTCTTTCATGGACAAAAAATGTAGTTCGTTTTTTAGGTGTGCGATTCTTGATCTTGTGCAGGATTGTAGGCGGACGTCTAGAGTTTGCCAAATTTTGGAGCAGTGATTGACGGAGAGCACGTATGGTAAGATGGCCGGTGAAATGATTGAGTAAAGAGCAGCAGCGAGGTTTTGGTCTATGAGGACCTAGGTGGTGTGAGCGGGATTTGAGATTTGTTGGTTTGTACCGGAGAGGATATGGGGAGGCGGAGCAGCAGTGGTTCCATCCAAGAATCCTTCGAATCTGTTTGCTCGAAATAACTTAAGCACTTGCGATCTCCAGATTGAGTGATTTTCGGCTGTGAGAGTTTGAGCCGTGACGTTCTTGATGCTGTTCATCAAGAACTTGAGGGAAGAAGGAATTTGAGGTGAAGGAAACTTGCCATCCGAAGTGATGTTAGCGTCCGGAGCGACTGGCTGAGCGGCGGACATCGTTGTATCAGTGGACATGAGAGCCGAAAGTGGTTTAGTCTTAGGGAAAACCTGAGACCTCTGATACCATGTTGAGAGAGTAGTCTCGTCCTTTAGCGAGAGAGATAGGACGGAGACAGAGAAAGGGATATGTCGTTCTCAGAGAAGTGCCAGAGCAATAACAGAGAAAGTAAAGAGATGTTTTTCTATTATTTCTTTTGTTACAGAAGAGCTAAGTATATATAGGCAACATTGATAAAGAACTGTACGACCTATTCTAACGTTAACCTTGTAACCCAAACATTGCTTGACACGTGGAATGTTTGTTAACAAAAAGTAGGGGATATTAAAATGGGTTTTCGGATCGAGTTTGAGTAGAACTCGG